GATAAAACTAAGATTAGAATTCACAGCAGCACTGTTCATAATACCCAAAAAGTGGTAGCAACCCAAGTGAACATCAACTGACCGCTGCATAAACGAAATACAGATCACCAGCTGCGTACAGCCCTGAGCTGGATCCCACAAACCCCCGCTGCTGTCCTGTCGCCAACACTGTCACGTGTTCTCCATCTGCCAAAGAGGGCAGAGCTGGAATTGCTGAAAAACTGCAGCCTTTGGGTCAGTCTGATGGAGCCTTGACTCACCCACCTTCACTGCTGCTACAGAACCGCCACTACCAGCAACTGCCACGCTGTCCAGCTGGAAGCAGGAAGATGCCCTGTGCCTCCCACAGTCTGATCTCCCTCAAATGCTTACCATTGGCAGAACTCACAAGGACGAAAGCCAAGTAAATGTAGTTTGCAGACTCCTAGTCCCAGCAATATAGTGCAAAGTATAAAAAGGCGGGTGAAAGGCTAAGAGAAAATAGTTATAATCCGGGGAAAGCACTGACATATTCCCATTAATCTCAAGAGCAAGAAAAAGAATTTAGTATCCAAACTACTATTTAACATTGTTCTGAAGGCATTAGTTAAAGCAAATAAGCAAAAGAAAGAAAGAAAAGATATAAAAATTAGAAAGGAAGAAGTAAAATTACCTTTATTTGCACAGATTATTTTATGCCCAGAATATCCAAAGAATTAAATAGAAACAATTATTGTAAACAATGAGGGAATTCAGTGAGATGACTTGGTACAAAATGGATATACAGAAATCAAAAAGGATGTTACACATATGCAAATAGCAACCAATTATATTAACCAAAAAAGTAAAATAACTAGAAATCAACAAAGACATGTTCAATGTCTTTGAAATGCTGCTGAGGGGACACAAGATGTGAATACTTGGAAAGATATACTCTTGTATAAAAAGATATCTCACAAGTTAAAAAAAAGTAAAGATATGTCAGTTCTCTCTAAACTATAGTTAATACAATCCTAATAAAATGCTCACAACAAGCATCATACTCAATGGTAAAAGAAAGAAACCTTTTCCTTGAAGATAAGGAACAAGAGGAAGCCTGCTTTAAAAACATCCACATTGGAAAAGAAGTAAAATTATCTCTGTTTGCAGATGATTTGACCTTACATGTAGAAAACCCTAAAGATTCCTCCAGGAAAAAACTGTTAAAACTAATAAATAAATTCAGCAAAGTGGCAGTGACAAAAGTCAGTTGCATTTCTATACACAAACAATGAGCAATCTGAAAACAATTCCATTTACAGCAGTATCAAAAAGAATAAAATACTTAAGAATTAATTTAACCAGGGAGTTAAAGACTTGTACAATGAAACTACAAAACTTTGTCAAAAGAAATTAGACATAAATAAATGGAAATACATCCCAAATTCATCGATTAGAAAAC